GCTGGCGCCGCAGCACGCGGTGCGGGAGCGGGAAGCGGATGCGCGAGTCGTGGAACTGCTTCACGGCCGGCCGCCGGCAGCGCGCCGCCGCCATCTCCTCCACCTTCATCACCTGGATCGAGTGCGCGCGCGCGCGGTGCCGGGCGCCCATGTCGCGGTCTGCGGGGCGGGTGGGGCGGTGAGGGCGGGGCGGCCGGCACCGCAGGGACCACCCCCGCCCGCCCCGCCGCGCGTGTGCGGCCTCCGCATTCACTCCCGGGGGCACCCGCAGCCCCCCGGAGGCGACGAGGCCCCGCTGCTGTGCGCACCCCGCTTGGAGCCGCGGCCACGGCGCGCGGCGGCTCTGGGGTTCGGGTGCGCGCCCCCCTCCCCGCGCGCGCCCCCCGTCCCCGCTTACAGCACTGCGTGACGGCGCCGGCCGTGGTGAGGTCGCGGTACTCGCGGTACATGTTGTGCGTGCCGCTGCGGGAGTCGTAGCGCAGCCAGATGCCGAAGTTCTTCACGCGCAGCGGCGACTTCTCGAACACCTGCGGCCGGCCGGGCGGGTGAGGGTCCGGGCCGCCCCCCGCCGCCCCGCCCCGGACCCCCCGCTCCGCCCCGGCCGCCCCCGGAGCCCCCCGCGCCGCCCCGGCCCGTCCCCACCCCCGCCGCCCCCCGGCCACGCCGCCCGGCCCCCGGCGCACCTGCCCGCAGTACACGATCTCGCCCGACGACTTCTTCATCTTCTTCAGCTGCGACACGAAGTACCAGAAGCGCGACTTGGCCACCACGTGGTTGGGCGCGAAGATGCGCATGCGGTAGAGCGGCGGCGCGGGGCTCTTGGGCGTGGGCAGGCAGCGGCCCACCACCTTGTACTCCCGCAGCTGCGGGGACGCGCGCGTCAGCCGGGGCCGGCGACCCCCGCGCCAGCCCCCGGCCCGCCCCCAGCCCCGGGCAGGAGGTCGCCACATCGCGCGGCGCGGCGCCCCGCCCGGGCCCGCTCCCCACGCGGCACCCGCGACCACCCCAGCCCCCAGTCCCGGGCAGGAGGTCGCAACCCCGCGCGGCGCCCCGCCCGGCCCGCACCCGCTCCCCACGCGGCGCCCGCCGCCATGTTGGCTGCTCCCGAGCGCGGCCATCGGGGTCCCGGGCGGCGGCGCGCTCCAGCTGCGGGGCCCCGTCCGCTCCCCGCGCCCCCCACCAGGGCCCGCGCCGCGCCCCCCGCCCCGACGCCGCGCCGCGGCCGCCTTACTGTGCCCGAAGCCTTCATGGCGCTCCGTCCGCGATGGCCGCCACCCTCGAAAAGGAAGTCCTTTCCTTCGCGCAGCCGCTCTCCACGGGTTCGCCGGCGGAAGTCCCGCCGCCTCGCCGCGACGCGCCCATTGGTTCCTTGTCCTGGCGCTCACGGAGCCTTGTTTTGTCATTGGCTCCAGTTCCGCCTGCCACCCACTACCCCGCCTCTCTTCGCAGCCGGACTACACTTCCCAGGAGGTAGCGCGGCAATGCGCACGTATTCCGGCGCGGACGTAACGGAGCTTCCGATTTCCGAGCACGCCGGGAGTTGTAGGCAGCGGACGGCTTTGGTAGGGAGTGAATGAGCAGCTGGAGCAGTCTCTGTCTTCCACATAAATGTTTTTCCAGGGGTTAAGTTTTTATTAACCAAGCAAGCCACGCTTATTCTGAGTGGAAGCAGCTGCCCCGGTTTCCTTGCCCCTGCCTCGGCGGGCAGGGGTATCCACGGGGTGGGGAGGGTTGTCCCAGGGAGAGGCTGTCTGCTCGCGGGAGCTGGGGGCCTGCTCAGATCTGCCGGGGCGAATCTGGGGGCGGTCGCCGTCCCCCGGCCGTGAGGTGCATCAGGGCGGTGGCGGCGGCCCGGCTTAGGGGGGGGGCGCCACCTCTCCCAGGAGGCCCCCACCTCCGGGCTGTGCCCCCGGGACCTCAGCGGACGGCCACATGCACCCTTTCCCCGCGCACGGGGGTCCTCACCCTGACCGCAGGCCATGGCGTTGGGGGGGGGGTCCTAACCGTGACCACAGGGCATGGCCGCAGGGGAGCCGCCCCCCGCCCCCACGGGGCGCCCGGCTTCTCCTCGCCCAGGGCCCCCGTGGAGCGGAGGTGGGGGCGGAGAGACGCCGCCCCCGCAGACCAGGACCTCCCGCCCACCCGTGCACAGCCCGGGAGCAGCCGTGTCGGCCTGCCTCCAGCCCTCCCCCAGGCCTGGAGTCCCGGATCCGCCCGCGTCGCCCCACGCACCGGCTGCTCGGCCTCTCGCCTTCCAAATAAATTTTAAAAAATCCTCAAACGCCGAGCAGCTTGAGAATTGATTTCCACGTCATAGAAGGCCCGCCTTTAAATAATGCAATCCACGGTTTCTAAAAAATTTATTTATTTACTTACTTAAAGGCAGAGTTAGAGAGAGAGAGATTCCACCTGCTGGTCACGCCCCAAGAGCTCACAGCAGCCAGGCCTGGGCCAGGCCAAAGCCAGGAGCCAGGAGCTCCATCCGGGTCTCCCCCGTGGCAGCTGACCCCCCAGTGCTGGCTCCAGGCTTCCCGGAGCCCCGCAATCCTGTTGTGCGGGAATTGGCGGGCGGGTGTCGGCGGAGAGCCACGCCCCCGGAGCGTTACCGCGAGCGGCCGCCAGGTGGCAGCAGAGCCCGTTTCCCCCGGGCAGGGCCGGCACGGGGGCCTGGGTTGCACATCCCTAGAGGGTGCGAGAGGGGCCTGGGGGAGGGGCGGAGGGAGGGGGCGGCGAGACGGGGAAGGGCCGCGCGAGGGGCAATTGCTGGTTCACTCCCCAGGTGCTCACAACAGCCAGGGCCGGGGTCCCTGCCCCCCTGGGGAGGTGACCCGGATGGGGTTCCCAGGCCCTGGGCTGCAGGGTGTGCACCTGCCGCTGTCCGGCCGCCTCCAGGGGAGCCGCCGCCCGCGTGCCCCTGCCGGAATGGGAGCCAGCTGGTCCAGCCTCCCTCCCTGAGCGCCTGTCCGGTTACTCCCGGGACGGCCGCCCCTGCCCCGCTACCGCGGCCCTCAGTGCCCAGCGAGCTCCCAGCCGCCCTCCCCCTCCCCGGCTCCCAACTCCCCCCCCACCCCCCAGCGACTCAGTGACTCCTCCCGGCTCCGGTCTTTCCACGCTGGCGCCTTGCCCCCCGGGGATCCGTGCTCCGCCGGCACCTCTCCCGCGGGAGCGGGGTCCTGGGCCGTCTGCGCCCACAGCCGGGCCCGGCGCCCACGCCCCGCTCCGCTCTCAGCCGAAACCTGGGCGCCGGCCGCCGTGACCAGCACCGCGGCGGTGGACAGCGCCCACTCGGCCACCTGCCCGGGCTCGAGCTGCGCGCCCTGGTCCGCACCTACGGGAACCGACGTGCACTTCAGGGCGTCTGGTGGGCCCGAGAGCGGAGGGATAGCCTGGGACAGCTCTGAGATGGGAGGGGTAGCCTGGGACAGCTCAATGCGCCCTTGCTCCTGGCCGCCTCTCGCCCACGCTCAGCCCCACGCCAGGAGCTTTCTCCCCGCGGCCCGGAGCCGCCGCTGGTTCTGACCCGGCCCGGCCGCAGGTTCTCGAACGCCTCCCTCTGCCCTGCGGGTACGCGGCCCGAGCCCCCGGCTGCCCAGAGGCCCGCTCAGGCCGGACCGGCTTTGCCGACGGCGACCCCGCCTGGCGGCCCGTGGACGACTGCCCATGGGCGGGGCCGGGCGGGGGCTTGGGGGAAGCTGGGCAGGACCTGGGGGGGCTCGGGGGTCGGGGAGCAGCTGAGGGTCTGGACGGAGGGCTGGGGGTTCGGGGGCTGGGCGGGGGGCTAGAGGGACGGGTCTGGGGAGCTGGGGGGACTGGGCAGGGGTTAGGTGGACGGGGGGGGGGCGTAGGAAGGGGTGGGGCCCGGCTCTTCCTCCTCCCCCGACCAGGAGTTTGCGTCCCCCAGTGCTTGTGCTCAGTCCCCGGCGCTGTCCCGTGGGGCGCCCTCGGGTTGAACCCGGCGGTGCCCCAGAAGAATGAACCAAGGCGAACACACCCCCCAGGCAGACCGCGCTGGTCCAGCCTGCAACCCTCCCACCAGGCAGACCCCGCTGGTCCAGCCTGCAACCCTCCCCACCCCCACCCCAGGTCTCTGTCCCTTTTGGGCCCGACGAGCTTCGAGCTTCGAGTGACACCGAGCCCAGAGGCCCCGCCCCTTCCTGTCATTTCCGGATTCTGGCCCTGCCATTGGCTGCCCCGCGGGGTCGGGGTCTCCCACGGACTGTGTACCTGCACCCCCGTACTCTCCCCCTCCGCGGAGCCCCTCCCAGCGGGGGGGGAAGCCCCCCACCCCGCAGCCGGGAACCCACCAGGAAGTGCTGAGCCGGGCGCGTCCTGAGCCTGGGGCGGGGGTAGTGGTCTAGCCTGCACCCCTCCCCGCCCTTGCCGGCCCCGGGGGAGCCTCAGCCCCTCTCGGGGCCACCGCGACCTCGCCTCGCCTCCCTGACCCGCTCCGTCCGCACACGGCCAGGCTGGCCCCCTGCCCCTCACCCTCCCGTGGAGCTCAGTCTTGAAGTCACCGCCTCAGGGAAGCCCTCCCGGATCTGTCCGCCCAGCAGCCTGAGCCGCACTTTACAGGTCCCTCTGGGAGGCCGGAAGTGGACACAGAGGCTGGGCCCGAACCTGACATTGGGACGAGGGCGTCACGGCCCCCCACGCGGGTCCGGGGCCTGCTGAGCCCCGCCCCGCGCTCCCCCGGGAGGGCCTGGGCTGTGTGCGTTGGGGGAGGTTGGTCTCTGAGCCAGGCTCAGAGCACGTCTGCCGAGGGTTCTAGAACATTCTGCCCCGCCCCCAGGGCCGCGGCTCAGGAAGTGCGCGGCCCACACAGGAAGGGGGCAGTGGGGCTTTCCTGTCGCCGGCGCAGGCGCGGCCTCGGGGCGGCCCGGGGTCCCCAGAGCCAGGTGAGCGCGCGGGGCGGCGGGGGGCGGCGGGGGGCGGCCGCGACCCTGGGGGCCCGGGCTCGGACAAGCTGCCCCGAGTTCCCGGCAGGCCCTGGGAGGAACTCACCGCGCATGTGCACTGCGCTCCTGCGGGGGGGGGGCGCCTTGGGGAGCCAAGGTCTGGGCGTCCATGCGGGGGCGCTTCGGGTGTGAAAATAGAGGGGCGTCTTCTGGACCCCCCCAAACTGGGGCTCCCGCCTTTGGGTTTATTTGGAAGCATCGTGGGTCTTGAGCGGTCATTTCAAACCTGACCACGTTTCCTGTTGTGCACCCGGGCGCGGGGCAGCGAGGGCCCCCGGGGGCTGGGGGGTCCCTGCACCTGCGCGGGAGGCCCGGATGGAGCTCCTGGCTCCGCCCCGGCCGCTAAGGGAGAGAGAGAGAGAGATCTTGCATCTGCCGGCCCCTCCCCACCTGCCCCAGCAGCCGGAGCTGGGCCCCCTCTGTCCGGCCGGCCGGGACTGACGCCCCCGACCCCCGCAGGCGGCGCCATGGCGCCCCCCAGCGAGGAGACGCCGCTGATCCCCCCGCGCTCCTGCAGCCTGTCCTCGGCGGAGGCGGGGGCCCTGCACGTGCTGCTCCCGCACCCGGGCCCCGGGCGCCCCCCGCGCCTGTCCTTTTCCTTCGGCGACCACTCGGCCGAGGCCTTGTGTGTGCGGGCCGCCAAGGCCAGCGGTGAGTGGCCGCCTGGCAAGGTGTCCGCGGGCGCCTTGGGGTTTTGAGGGCTGCGTAGGAGTTTGGAGAGGGAGCGTGAGCCTTGGAGGCACTGGGGCTGCAAGCCTTGGGCAGGGACGGGGCGGGGCGGCGGGGGGCTTCCCTGCGGAGGGGGTGAGAAGGAGGGGAGACCTAGAGGGGCTCGGCAGGGAGCTGACGGGGCGGCGCCCGCAGGCGTGCTGCCCGTGTACCACTCGCTGTTCGCCCTGGCCACGGAGGACCTGTCCTGCTGGTTCCCGCCCAGCCACGTCTTCTCCGTGGAGGACGGGGCCACCCAGGTCCTGGTCTACAGGCTCCGGTAGGGAGGGGCTGTGCCCCGCCCCCGCCGAGGGTCCCCGGGCTCCGCCACGCCCCTGCCCCTGCCTGGGGGGCGCCTCCCGCACCCCAGAGACGCGGGTCCCCCGCCGAGGGTCCCCGGGCTCCCCTGACCCCCCCTCCCCCACGCAGCTTCTACTTCCCCGAGTGGTTCGGGCTGGACAAATGCCACCGCTTCGGGCTCCACAAAGAGTTGGCCAGCGCCATCCTGGACTTCCCGGTCCTGGAGCACCTGTTTGCCCAGGTGTGTGTGGGGGAGCGGGGCTCCACCCAGAGCTTTGGGGTGCGCGGGGCACGCGCGGGGCTGCTGACCTCGCCCCCGCCGCCCCCAGCGCCGCAGTGACCTGGTCAGCGGGCGCCTCCCCGTGGGCCTGAGCTTCCGGGAGCAGAGCGAGTGCCTGAGCCTGGCCGTGCTGGACCTGGCGCGGATGGCCCGCGAGCAGGCGCGGCGGCCGGCGGAGCTGCTCAAGGCCGTCAGGTGAGGCCCCCGGGGAGGGTGGGCACGCGAGGGCCACGCGTGGGCGCCCGGGGGCTGAGCAGGCCGGCAGGTGAGACCCCCCCCCGGGGAGGGTGGGCACGCGTGGGCGCCCGGGGCTCAGCGCGGCGGCCCGCCCCCCGCAGCTACAAGGCCTGCCTGCCTCCGCGCCTGCGCGACCTCATCCAGGGCCTGAGCTTCGTGACCCGCGGCCGCATCCGCCGGACCGTGCGCCGCGCCCTGCGCCGCGTGGCCGCGTGCCAGGCCGACCGGCACGCGCTCATGGTCAAGTACATCATGGACCTGGAGCGGCTGGACCCCGCCGGGGCGGCCGAGACCTTCTGCGTGGGCCTCCCGGGGGCCGACGGCGCAGACACGCAGGGGCTGCTGCAGGTGGCCGGCGGCAGCGGCGTAGCCTGGAGCCCCGGCGGACAGGAGGTGCGCGTGGGCGGGGCTGGCGAGTAGGGGCGGGATTGGCTGGGAGGGTGGGCGTGGTGAGAGACGGTGCTAACTGGTGAGCCAATAAGGAGGCAAGACTGGGAGGGGCGGGGCTCCGGAAGGCAAGGAGGGGTGGAGTTGCTAGGAGAGGCGGGGTTTGAAGAGCGTGGGTGGGCGGGGCTTTTGCCTGGGGGCGTGGCTGCGTGAGGAGAGGGCTGGGTGGGTGGGCGTGGAAAGGGCGAGGCTAACTGCAGACCAATAAGGATGCAGGTTTGGGGCGGGGCTCTGGGAGGCGGGGCCCAGTAGGAGGCGGAACTTGGCAGGGGCGTGGTGGGGGGGATGCTTGGGTGTGGTAAGGGGCGGGCTTGCTGGGAGAGGCGGGGCTTGGAGGGGCAGGGTCATGGATGCCCCTGGCGGGTCCGGTTCCCGGAGGGAGGAGAGTGTGCGTTCCTGGTGGGGCAGGGACCGCAGCCCCATCCGCCGCCCCCCTGCAGGCCCTGCAGCCCTTCTGTGACTTCCCCGAGATCGTGGACATCAGCATCACGCAGGCGCCGCGCGCGGGCCCGGCCCGGGAGCACCGCGTGGTCACCGTGACCAGGACGGACACACAGATCCTGGTACGCGCGGGCGCGTGCGGGGTGGCCTCTCCCAGCCCGCCCCGCCCCGGCTGACCGGCCCTCCCCGCAGGAGGCCGAGTTCCCGGGGCTGCCCCACGCGCTGTCCTTCGTGGCGCTGGTGGACGGCTACTTCCGGCTGACCACCGACTCCGGGCACTACTTCTGCAAGGAGGTGGCCCCGCCGCGGCTGCTGGAGGAGGCGGCCGAGCAGTGCCACGGCCCCATCACGTAGGCGCGGGCGTGGGAGGTGGGCGCGGGCGGCGGGCGCTGGGCGCTCGGAGCGAGGCCCTGCGCGGCCGCGTGGGGGCCCCGGCTTCGCCCCCTTGTCTCCCCACCAGGAGAAGCCCCCACACGGGGCAGGTTTCACAAGCTGGGGGCGGGGGGCGGCCCCTGAAGAGGTTTGGGTCCCCCGCCCGGGTCTCAGGGTCGCCTCCGTGTCTGTGTCCGTCTCTCCCCTCGCCTGTGTCCGTCTCTCCCCTCGCCCCCCGCCCCCAAGCCTGGACTTCGCGGTCCACAAGCTGAAGGCCCAGGGCTCGCTCCCCGGCTCCTACGTCCTCCGCCGCAGCCCCCAGGATTTCGACAGCTTCCTGCTCACCGTCTGTGTTCAGGTCGGGCCGGGAAGGCTTCCTGGAGGAGGTGTGGGGCCAGCGTGCGCTCCCGGGGCAGGAGGGCCGGGAGTGAGGCTGGGGGCACCCCCTCCTCTCACGGGGTCCCTCTTTCCCCAGACGCCCCTGGGCCCCGACTATAAAGGCTGCCTCGTCCGCCGCGACCCCACGGGCGCCTTCTCACTGGCCGGCCTCGGGCGGCCTCACAGCAGCCTGGGGGAGCTGCTGGCGGCCTACCGGAGTGGGGGGCTGCACGTGGACGGGGCCATGCTGACCCTCAGCTCCTGCTGCGCCCCCAGACCCAGAGGTGAGCCCGGCCTGGCGAAGGAGGAGCGAGCCCGGGCGGGGGGAGGGGGCGTTCACCTCTGACCCCTGGCTTTCTCCGCCCCCCCACAGAGAAGTCCAACCTGATCGTGGTGCGGAGGGGCTGCGGGCCCGCGACCCCCGCCGATCCGCCCCAGGGCCTGCACCCGCTCAGCCAGCTCACCTTCCACAAGGTCCCGGCCGACAGCCTCGAGTGGGTACGGTGCCTCCGCTGCCTTTAAGAAAGTCCCACCCTGGGGCAGAGCCTGCGGGAGCCCTGCCCCGACCCCACCTGGGGGAGGGGCCTGCGGGAGACCCCCCCTCACGGCCCTGCCCCTGTCCCGCCCAGGGGAGGGGTCAGCGGGAGCCCTGCCCTGTCCCCCCCCACACCTAGGGGAGACCCCACCCTCACAGCCCCGCCCCTGTCCCGCCCGGGGCGGGGCCTGACAGAGCCCCGCCCTCAGGCCGCCCGCCCCGCCCACAGCACGAGAACCTGGGCCGCGGCTCCTTCACCAGCATCTTCCGCGGCTCCAGGCGCGAGGCGGTGGACGGGGAGGCGCGGCGGAGCGAGGTGCTGCTCAAAGTGGTGGACGCGCGGCACCGCCACTGCCTGGAGGTGGGCGCGCTGCCGGGCGGGGCGGGGCGTGCGGGGCGGGGCCCAGCCCCCCGGGCACGCTGGGGGCCCCTACGTGACCCCACGCCCGGCCCGCGCCCTCTCCCGCGCAGTCCTTCCTGGAAGCCGCCAGCCTGATGAGCCAGGTCTCCTTCCCGCATCTCGTGCTGCTGCACGGCGTGTGCATGGCCGGAGACAGTGAGCACGGTGGGGGGGACGCGGGCGGGGGGCGCAGCGCCATCCGGGTCTCCCCCGCGGGCGGCCGGGGCGGGGCTCAGGGCTCCTAGGGTCCTGGGCTGAGCCCGCAGCGCCCCCTAAGCCCCGTGGTGGACGGGGCCTCCCGCGCTCGAGGTTCGGAGTGAGGGCCCTGGGCGGGGGCGGGGCCCGCTGCACACCCCTGCGGTTCCGCCCCGCCCCCAGGCACCATGGTCCAGGAGTTCGTGCCGCTGGGAGCCGTGGACACGTACCTGCGCAGGCACGGCCACCGGGTGCCGGCCAGCTGGAAGCTGCAGGTGGCCAAGCAGCTGGCCTACGCCCTCAACTACCTGGTGAGCACTGGGGGCATTGGGGGTGGGCGCGGAGGCATGAGGAGGAGTTCGGGGAGGAGTTCGGCTGTGTCCCGCAGTCAGGGAAGGGCCTGGCGCGGGCGGAGGGGACGCGGATGGGTCAGCCTGGGGGTCGGACAGGCGGTGGCAAGGCTGCAGCCAGGACCCCAGTGCCGGCGGCACTGGAGCGGGTGTGTGCCGCACCGCGAGGCTTTGCGGTACGTGTAGGAGTTTGCCAAGGGAGCCATGGGCGCTCACGGCTCCCTGGGTTTTCCTGTGCCCCCCGACCCCACAGGAGGACAGGGGCCTCACCCACGGCAACGTGTCGGCGCGCAAGGTGCTCCTGGCCCGGGAGGGGGCCGACGGGAGCCCCCCGTTCATTAAGCTCAGCGACCCTGGGGTCAGCCCCGCCGTGCTGAGCCGGGAGAGTGAGTGACGGCGCTGGAGGAGGGAGGGGCGGGGTGGGGCGGGGCCAGTTCTGACCCTGTCCCACCCCGCCCCACAGTGCTTGCGGACAGGATCCCCTGGGTGGCTCCCGAGTGTCTGCAGGACCCGCAGGCCCTCGGCCTGGAGGCGGACAAGTGGGGCTTCGGGGCCACCGTCTGGGAGGTGTTCAGCGGCGCCCCGATGCCCGTCAGCGCCCTGGAGCCGGCCGAGGTCAGAGCGCCCCCACGTGGCCATCCCGGGAAGCGCCTGCGGATGCCCCTGCCTGGGGTCCTGGGGGCCAGGCTGCTTGTGACCCCTCCCCCGCCTCGGCCCCGGGGTTCAGCCTGGCCGTGACCCCTGCCCGTGACCCCGCCGCGCCTCCGTCCGCAGAAGCTGGACTTCTACGAGCAGCGGAGCCGCCTGCCCGCCCCGCCGTGGGCCGAGTTGGCCCTGCTCATTGAGCAGTGCATGGCCTACGCGCCGGGCCGGCGGCCGTCCTTCCGAGCCATCATCCGGGACCTCAACAGCCTCAGCACGTCCGGTGCGCGGGGCCCTGTGCCGGGCGGCGGGGGCGGTGGCCGCGCGGGACGCGGAGCTGTCTGAGCTCGGGGCGGCACTGGCCGCTGGGTTGCAGCCCGGACAGTGGCCTCGGCGCGGTGGGCCCGTGCCGTCGTGCAGGGCGTGCACTGTGCAAGGAGGCCGATGGCCCAGCGGGTGCCCAGTCCCTGCGGGTCCGCAGCGGGGAGGGGGCGCTGCTCATCCCTCCTGTGTCCCCCAGACTACGAGCTGCTCTCGGACCCCGCGCCAGGCGCCCCAGGGCCCCGCGCCGGGCTGTGGGGCGGCGCCCAGCTCCACGCCTGCCAGGACCCCACGGTGTTTGAGGAGAGGCACCTCAAGTTCATCTCGCAGCTGGGCAAGGTGGGCGGGGCCGGGGCCGGACACGGGGTGGGCGGAGGATGACAGATATGGGGTGGGCAGGGTCCGACTAGGCGGGGCCAGGTGGCTGACACCTGGTGGGTGGGGCCTGGTGGGCGGGGCCGGATCCGGGAGGGCGGGGCCTGGGGCGGGGCCCGGGGTGACGGACACAGGATGGGAGGATGACGACGGACATGGGGTGGGCAGGGTCTGACGGGGCGGGCGCGCCGGTGGGCGGGGCCTGGTCCGGGTGGGCGGGGCCGGTGACGACGCCCCGCCCCAGGGCCACTTCGGCAGCGTGGAGCTGTGCCGCTACGACCCGCTGGGCGACGACACGGGCGCGCTGGTGGCGGTGAAGCGGCTGCAGCACAGCGGCCCCGACCAGGAGCGCAGCTTCGCACGCGAGATCCAGATCCTCAAGGCGCTGCACAGCGACTTCATCGTCAAGTACCGCGGCGTCAGCTACGGCCCGGGTGAGCCAAGGGGGCGTGGGCGGGGCTGAGGGTGTGGGGGCAGGGCCGAGGGCGGGGTCGTGCATGCGCCCGGGGCCCGGGACGGGAGGGGCTGGGGGCAAGGAGGGCATGGGCGAGGCCGGGGGCGGGGCCATGTGTGCGATGGGGCTGGAAGGGCCAGGGGCTGGGCCGGGGCCTGGGCTCGGGAGTGGCGGGCTGGGGGCGGGGCCAAGGGCGGGACTGGGGCCGTGGGTGCGGGAGGGGCAGGGGCGAGGCTGAGGACCCGGGGATCGCGCTGGGCCGGGGGAGGCGCTGGGGTCCCGGGGTTGCGCTGGGGCGCGGACCGGGGTCCGAGCACTCCGGCCGCCATGACGCCCCCCGCCCCCAGGTCGCCAGAGCCTGAGGCTGGTCATGGAGTACCTGCCCCGCGGCTGCCTGCGTGACTTCCTACAGCGCCACCGCGCGCGCCTGGGCGCCGGCCACCTGCTGCTGTACGCCTCCCAGATCTGCAAGGTGCGGGGCGCGCGGGACAGGGCGGGGCGGGCGGTGTGGGCGAGGAGGGTCCCGCCTCCCCGGGACCCTCAGCAAGGCCCCCGCCCCCCGCAGGGCATGGAGTACCTGGGCTCCCGCCGCTGCGTGCACCGCGACCTGGCCGCGCGCAACATCTTGGTGGAGAGCGAGACGCACGTGAAGATCGCGGACTTCGGCCTGGCCAAGCTGCTGCCGCTGGACAAGGACTACTACGTGGTCCGCGAGCCCGGCCAGAGCCCCATCTTCTGGTGCGGCCCGCCCCGCCCCGCCCCTCCCACAGCCCTGACCACGCCTCCAGCCCTGACTCCACCCCATCAGCCCGGGAGCCTGGCCCCGCGCCGTGGGGGGCTGCCCACTGTCCCCGCCTTCGCTGCCTGCCTGGTCCCCGCCCCGCTGCCCGCCTGGTCCCTCCCCCACTGCCCGCCCTGTCCCCGCCCCGCTGCCCTGCCGCAGCCAGTCCCGCGCTGTCCCGCAGGTTCGCCCCCGAGTCGCTGGCGGACAACGTCTTCTCGCTCCAGTCGGACGTCTGGAGCTTCGGCGTCGTCCTATACGAGCTGTTCACTTACAGCGACAAGAGCTGCAGCCCCTCGGCCGTGAGTGGGGCGGCCCGCCCGGTGACCCCTCCCCCCCGAGTCCGCCCTGGCCCGTGACCCCTCCCTCCCCTGGGTCCGCACCCACCCTGGCCCTGCTGACCCCTCCCTCCCCTGGGTCCGCACCCGCCCTGGGCCCCTGATCCCTCCCTCCCCTGGGTCCGCACCCGCCCTGGGCCCCCTGATCCCTCCCTCCTCCCCTGGGTCCGCACCCGCCCTGGCCTCGCTGACCCCTCCCCTCCCCCACCACCGGCGCCCCCAGGAGTTCCTGCGGATGATGGGGGGAGAGCGAGACGCCCCCGGCCTCTGCCGCCTCCTGGAGCTGCTGGCTGAGGGCCAGAGGCTGCCGGCGCCGCCCGCCTGCCCGGCCGAGGTGAGCACGGGGTGGGGGGTCACGGATGCCTCGGTTTACCCGTTTCCAAAAGAGGAACCCCGGCGTCCGACGGGGTGGGGGTGGGCTTGGTTAAGTGAGTGCTGAGCTCGGCGTGGCCGGGGCATGTGGGGAGGCCAAGGGGTAGGACTGGCAGGAGAGGAATGGGCTGGTGGGGGGCTGGGCAGTGGAAGGGGCGGGGCCAGCGAGGGGCGGGGCCACTGTGGGGACGGAGCGGCGGGGACAGGGGGTGTGGGAGGGGCGGGGCCGGCAGGGCAGAGGGGCGGGGCGCTTGATGGGGGCGGGTCAGTGTGGGCGGGACCTCGGAGGGGCGGAGCCCGGGAGAGCAGGGCCCGGGGCCGGGCCGCGGCGGCGGGAAGTGGGGTGCGGGGGAGCCGGCGCCGCGGCAGGGCCTGCTTTGTGGCTTTCCCGGAAGCCTCTGACAGGCCCTAAGCCTCGTAAATCAAGTCGCGCAGCCACGCATGTTTGTGTGGAGTGTCAGCTACGTGCCAGGCCTTGAACTTGGCGCCCGGCACCACCTTACTCGAGACCCTGGGCGTGGTGGCCGCTGCTGGGAAAGAGGCGAGGGGAGGAGACACCGGCGGGGTGGGCGGGGTCGAGGGCGCAACGGGTGCCGCCGTCCCGTGGGGGCGTGGACCGGGTGCGGGGGTCCGCGGCGGCTGTGGGGTGGGCAGGCGGCCGCTCAGGCTCCTGACCGCCGCTGTCCGCCCGCGCCCTGCAGGTCCACGAGCTCATGCAGCTGTGCTGGGCCGCCAGCCCCCAGGACCGGCCGCCCTTCAGCGCCCTGGGGCCCCGGCTGGACGCGCTGTGGAGCGGGAGCCCGGGGTAGCGGGCCGCGCCGCCTCCAAGGCCAGGGGGCGTGGCCTCCCGCCTCCGCCGCTGCTGGGGGGACCCTGGCTCAGGTGCCCCTCGGAGGACCCCAGCCCCGCCCCTCCCGGGCGAGCCGGGTCTGAAGCTGGGCTTTGGATGACGCCGCCAGGGCCGGGGAACCGACTGGCCTGCCTCCCCTCCGGTCCTCACCCTCGGAGGCCACAGGGCGCCCGGCGGGGCAGTGGGGGAAGGCACGGCGCTCCTGGCACAGGAACAAGGCTGAACGCCCTGGCCCTCGCTGGCCTCGGTCCTCGCCCCTGTGGAATGCGCTCAGCTGTCTGAACACCTTTCCCGCCTCTCTGGAAGCCTCGTACACAGCCGTCAAAACCCCAGCGGTCCCGGCCTGCTGTGCCCCTGCCCACCCAGACGCCCAGGCCGCGGCCATGTGCGCATGCGTCGAGCTCTGCCCACCCTCACGACGGATTGGTGTTTGCTGAGCGAATAAAGGATCTCCGTGGGCCCCCGGCTGCGCTGTGTTTGATGGGGCCTGGGGGGCGGTGGTTAGGGCCGTGGGTCCGGGTCTCTGGGGTCGCCGTGGGGAGGAGGGGTGGCTGGGAGAGACCTTTGCCAAGGCCTGGAGGAGGAAGAGCCCCAACCCCCACCCCCGCGCCAGCTGCGGCCTCGGTTCCCCCCTGGAGGGCTGATTACGGGCTCCCGGGGGCGCGGAGGGACCAGAGCGTTCCGTGAGGGGTCAGAGGGCAAGGCCCGCGCTGGGGGTGGCCAGGCTGTGGGGCAGGGGCCAGGCCAGCCCCCTGTGTGCACCCGGGGTGGAGGGGGGGAGAGAGAGAGAGAGAGAGAGAGAGAGAGAGAGAGAGCTGTCTGCCCCAGTAAAGCCCCCGATCGGGTGGGAAGCTACTCTGGGTGGGGGGAGCCAGACTGGCCGCTCAGCACCCGCCCCGGTCTCTGCCTCAGTTTCCCACCTTTGGGGCAAAGCGGGGGAGCCTAAGACCCCCCTGGGCACGAGGCTGGCCCCAAGCAGGTGGCTTCTGCGTTCTAGGGCCGCCCAGCCCTGGCGGGGCTCCAGGACCCCGGGTGCAGGGGAGACCATGGCAGGGACCCCCCTCCCCCACCGCCTCGGGGCGCAGGGGCGCTGGGGGGGGCGTGGGCTCTGCCCAGCGCCCTGTGGCCTTGGACAAGCGCGGGGTCCGTCCCCCAGGTCTGCACCCTCCCCGGGCCACACTCAGGACCCCTCACTCCGGACCACATTCACGGCGGCTCCGGGCCCAGTGCTCGCCCCCGGGGGTCCGCCCAAGGCCCCGCCGCACCCTTGACTTTTCCCGGGGCCTTGTGCGGAACGCCCGCTGCCTGCTCCAAGGTCTGCAGCTGCGGCAGCCCAGGCGCTATAAGGGGGCGCCCGGGCCGGCTGCGAGCGCCGCCCCCCGCCATGGACCCCCGCCCGCCGGCCTGGGCGCTGCTGCTGCTGCTGCTGCTGCCGCCGGCCGCGGTGTCGCCGCTGAGCCCCGCGCCAGCCCCGGGCGCGCCCGAGAGGCTGTGCGGCCACCACTTCGTGCGCGCCCTGGTGCGCGTGTGCGGGGGCCCGCGCTGGTCCCCCGAGGCGGCCCAGCCCGTGGCTGCCGGCGATCGTGAGTAGTGGGAGCTGCGGGGGGGGGGGGGGCCCGCAGGTGCAGGGGGCGGGGCTGAGAGCGGTGTCGGGCACACAGCTGGCGCTTAACAAGTGCTCGCTTCTATCGGCCCCGCGGAGGGAGGTTCTGCCGGGTCCCCTGGCCCAGGGCGCAAGCGGTGACCTCTGCCCTCTGCTCTGTCCCCAGGGGACCTGCTGCGGTGGCTGGAGGGCCCGCACCTCCTCCACGCGCTGGCAGCGGCCGACGGCGACCCGCAGCCCCCGCCCCGGGGCTCTCGGCGCCGCCGCGCCGCAGGGGACAACCCCGCGCTCCGGTGCTGCCTCCGCGGCTGCGACCGCCAGGACCTGGTGTCCCTGTGTCCCCACTGACGCCGCCGGGGGGGACAGGGCTGAGACAGCGCCACGACGCCCGGCGTCCCTTGGTTTCCTCCTGCGACGGGGGGGCTCACACCTCGCCCCGCCTGCCCTCCGGGAAGCCGACGCGCCGTCAACACGCACCCGAATCCAGATGTCCAGGCGCTGGGGGGTCAGATGTCCCGGAGCCGCCCCAACACCGGCCTCCCGGCCTTTGCGACGCCCCCACTCCCCACTCCCCGCTCCCCACTTCCCGCTCCCTCTGCGGCAGCCAATAAACGATTCCCAGCAGAATTCTCATAGTACCCGCTCGCTCGCTGGCTCCTCCATCCTGGCCCAGCCCTTCGGGGGGTGCGCCAGCGGGTAGGGGTGGGGGTGGGAGAGGCCTCGTCGGAGCCGGGGCGGGGCGACAGGAGCTGAGGACCGCGGGGGGCCGGGGTGGAGGGGGGCAGGCGCGCCCCCCGGGGTGGGGTGGGGGCTGCCGCCCCCGCCCTTGGTCTTGTTTAATTTTCGCCGGTGCCAATTTCCGGCCGGGAAAACCCTGTCCAAGCGCTTTATTGCGAGCTACAAAATACCAAGCCCCAGGTCTTTGCAAAAAAACAAAAACAAAAACAAAAACATTTAATTCCCTGAGGATCCGCTGCCCAGCCGGAGTCCGCACACCTGTCAGAGGCCGGGCCCCGCACCCCCCCCCCCCGCCTCCCCGGGCGCATGCGCGTGCTGACCTGGCCCGCCCCCGCTCCCCCAGCGCCCAGGCCGTTCCCTGCGTTCTTCGGGCACCCGAGGGTGGGGAGCAAGTCTTCCACAGGGGACCTCCAAAGCTCGGAGCTCCCACAGATGCTGGGGGCCAGCGCAGGCCCGGGCCCCTCCCGCCACATCCCAGAGGCCCCCGCGGTGCTAACAGGGGCCCCTCTGTCCCTGGCCCGGGAACCTTGTCTCCCAGCGGCACCTGAGGCCAGAGGAGTCCTGGGCGGACCTTGAGCCTGGGTGGCCTCGGGCGCTGTCCGCTGCCTGGGGACAAGGCTGGCAAAGGCACTCGGCCCTGATGCGTTGGAGGCTTCATAGCGCCATAGTCCCAGCCACCGGGAGCCTAGGGACCGGGGTCTGAGCACGACCAGGGGGGTTTTGCGGGATGCCTAGGAGTGCACCAACCACCTACTCCATGTTATCCACCCCTCCCCGGCCGGGCGCCCTGAGCCCCTGGTTGGGGGAGGACGAGGGTCCGAGCGTCCCAGGGTAGGTGTCCTCCGTGCGCGCCCGGGCGGGGCGGGGCGGGGCGGTGCGGAGCGCTCAGTAGATGCGGGCCCGGCGGCCGCAGGCCAGGTCGGGCTGGTTGAGCGCTTCCCACATGAGCAGGAGTTCGTAGGGCAGGAAGCGGTGCACGAGCAGCAGCTCCCGGTAGAAGCAGGGGTCGAAGGAGGAGAGGGCGGCGGAGGGCGCGCGCAGGCCGCCGGTGCGCACGCCGCTGTGCGCGGCGGGCTCGAGGCCGGCGCGCTGCAGGCACATGCCCAGGAAGACGTCGTCGATGGGGAAGAGGTCGAGCGCAGGCGCGGCGCGGCGCAGCGCGGCGGCGGTGAAGCGCGAGAGCAGGAAGCCGCCGCCGCCGCAGTAGGGCGGGTAGCGCTCCTGCGCCATCAGCAGCTTGGGCACGAAGTACTTGCTCCAGGGCGCGCGGATGGGGCCCACGTTCCGGATGAGGTGGCCCACGAAGAGGTGGTGGCCGGGGTCCTGGCTCTGCAGGTAGGCCACCATGTTGTCCGTGTGCGCGAACACGTCGTCGTCGCCGTTCAGCACGAAGCTGGCGTCCGCGCACCTGTGGCCCTGCCACTCCAGGAACAGCACCTGCGCGGGCGGGGGCGGGGGCGGGGCTGAGCTTCCCGCGGGGACGCGGGTTCGAGGCCCGGCTGCTCCACTTCCCACCCAGCGCCCTGCAGAGGCTGGCCCAAGTCCCTGGGCCCCTGCACCTGCGCGGGTGAGGAGCTCCCTGGGGGGAGGAGGTGGGGGTGGGGTGGGGTGGGAGCGCGTGCCTCCCTCCGCCCCGCCCCGCGCACCTGCTTGAGCGTGAGGTTGAAGAAGGAGTCGTGGAAGGCCCACTGCAGGATGTCGCCGTGCGCCTCCGCCTCCAGCGCCAGCAGCCGGTTCACCTTGCGGGCCTCGTGCGCGCCGGCCGCCGTGCCCACGAGGAAGAGGCGGCGCAGCTGCGCGCCCCGCACGCGCCGCTCGCGGCCCCAGGTGCGGCGCACGAGCTCGCGGCGCTCGTAGTTGCCGGGCGAGGACTTGATGGCGAGCAGCAGGAACACGGGCCCGGCGCACTTGTCGCGCGGGGCGTCCTGCAGCAGCGGGAAGGCGCGGCAGTGCCGGTAGAGCAGGAAGTCACGCACGTGCGCCGGCTGCGCCTTGAACTCGGGGTGCGCCGCCACCGACGCGTTGGCCACGCAGGGCGCCGGGCGCGGGGGCGAGGCCGCCGTGGGCCGCGTGGGCGCCTCGCGGGGGACGCGCGGCGGCTCCGCGGCCGGGCAGCCGGGCGGCGCCACGTGCAGGCCCAGCAGCACCAGGAGCGCCAGGGCGCCCAGGGCCAGCACGAGGCCCGCGTCCGTGCGCAGGGGCCGCGGGCAGCGCATCCTGGCCGGCCCGGGGCCCGCGGGGCTCACGGCGGGCGCTCGCACGCTCCTGCGGGGGACAGAGCTCCGTCAGCCGCCGCCGCCGCCGCCGGGGCAGGGCGGAGAAAAATGGGAGGGGGCGGAGGAAGACCCCAGGCTGAGGGCACCCGGGACCCCCAAGGCCGGCGGCCTCGCCCCCGCCCCCTCCGCACCCCCAGCCCCCCGCAGTTCACACAGGACCCCGACTCAGATCCAGTGTCCAGTCACGGGCCCTCCCCCCCCTCGCACCCCCACTGCGGGGCAGTGGCCCTCAGTCCCGCCCCCTGCTCCCCTGTCCCGGCTGGGGGTGGGGCTGAAAGTCCCGGCCCCGCCCTGTCCCCTTATTAGCATAGGAAAAGGCGATGGAGAGGATTTGGGGGTTTGTTGTCCCCGAACACGCAGGAGCGCCCGGGAGGGGCGGGGCCAGGTCTGGGCCGAGAGGAAGGGACCCCTTGAGTGACAGGAGGGGGGAGGGGATCGAAGGGGGAGGGGCAGAGGGAGGGGGAGGGGTCTTCCACCCACTGGCTCCTGGCCCCACACAGCCAGGGCCGGGCCAGGAGCCTGGGGCTCCATCCGGGCCTCCCGCGGGCCACGTCCGAGTACCCGGGTTCGGGTCCCGCCTGGAGCTCGTCCCTTGACTCTTCCTGGGCGCCCCGCTGGGCTGTGGGTCCCGCGAGCTGCAGGGGCGGCTTTACCAGGAGGGACCAGCAGGGGACGCCGCCCGTTGCCATGGAAACAGCCCACTCTGGGCCACCATCACAAGAAGGAATCTTGGCCCAAAAACACATCTCACAGTCATTCATTCATTCATTGGGGCCGGTGCTGTGGCCCAGCGGGTAAAGCCGGGTTCGAGTCCCGGCTGCTCCACTTCCCATCCAGCTCTCTGCTATGGCCTGGGAAAGCAGTGGAGGATGGCCTAAGTCCCTGGGCCCCTGCACCTGCGTGGGAGACCCGGATGGAGCTCCTGGCCCCCGGCTCCGGATTGGCGCGGCCCCGGCCGTTACGGTAGTCTGGGCGTGACCCAGCGGATGGAAGATCAATCCATCTCTCCCTCTCCTCTGCCTTCCAAATAAAATCTTTATATACGATTGGCACTCCATCCGAGGGCAGTCTGCCCGCCCCGCACTTTCCATGACCTCAGAAACTTCCAGAATCTGACACAAGGAAGCAGCTCACGGCGGCCATACCGAGACCCCTCCCCAGCCAGCGCCGCACCTGCTCGGCCACCTGGGAGCGCGGGGCTGCGGCGGGCACCTCCTGAGCGCCGACTGTATACCCGACACGGAGGCGCAGCCACCGCTCAGCCGCCCCCCCCCCCATGTCAGCAGCGAGCGAGGGAGGAAGGAGCCCCCGGTCCCGAGAAATGGGCGGAGCCGCTGCAGACGGGGGGGGGGGGAGGCACAGCAGTGCAAAAGCCCTGGGGCAGTCACAGCTCGAGGTGTGGGGTGCATCGTGGGCGGGGCCAGGGCTCACGGTGTGGGGTGCATCGTGGGCGGGGCCGGGGCTCGAGGTGTGGGGTGCATCGTGGAGGGGCCGGGGGTGCTGAGCAGGACTGGGCGTCTGGGGTCGGGGCCGAGGCCGAGGCTGGCAGCACCAGGGCGGCGCGGAGGGGCTCGCCCTCAGGCCGGGGCTGTTTGTCGGGTGGCTCCCTGCAGCCTGTGTGGAGAAGCCACTTCCTGTCGCTGGCCAGGACACGGGAGCTCCCGCAAGGTGTGGCCACCGCATCTCCCGGCTGCACACCCTCTGTCTCTTCCACCACCCCCCCCCAGGCTGCCCCTCACTCACCCAGGCCCAGTGCAGCCTCAGGGCCTTTGCACCTGCCGCTGCCAGCCTCCCAGCTCTCCTCTCTCTGATCCTCTGTGGCAGCTTTTCATGGAGGCGCTGGCCCCGCCCCCACACCCAGGGCGGCTGGCAGCAGCCCTGGCCCCTGACACCGGTCCCTGGTCCCGCCCCCGGAAGACCCAGCAGGGATTGGGCGAGATAAGACGCTGAGCCCGGGGCTGGGCTGATGCGACCGTGAGGACATAGGAGGGCCGGGTTCGAGTCCCGGCTGCTCCACTTCCCATCCAGCTCCCTGCAGTGCCGCTGCACAGTAATGAGCTACTGCATATTCACGAGGTGCTGAATATTCACGAGCCACTAGCTGATCTGGCTCCTCCCCTATGTCCCTAGGCCCCTATGCATGGCCTCAAATGGTGGCGAGCTGCTATTAATGACCTGCTGAATATTAATGACCTGCTGAATATTAATGACCTGCTGAATATTAATGAACTTAGAGTCACCTGGGAGGGGTGAAGACACAGGCAGCGCTGACTCCCACTGACCCGGGTGATGGCCCAGGCTAGCCCCTGGGCTCCAGGCTGGACCCCCCCAGGGCAAGCAGCTGGCAATCCGCTCGCACACCCTGGCCCCCGACCCCTGCTCCATGGTGGGCGGGGCTGCTATGTGCCCACTTCCCAAGAGAGAACACGGAGGCAGGGCGGGTACGTGCGCGCACGCGTGTTCCCGACCCTTGGCTTGCTCCTCGGACCCCCGCCTGCCTCCCGTCCCGTGTCGCCGTCCTCAGGGACTCCGAGGCCTGGGGGTCCCGGACAGGCCCAGGGCTCCCCGCTTCCCTGGCCCCGACCCATGCCACTGAGCAGAGCCCCAGGGAGGCCCCGCGCCGGTCGGCACCAGTCTGGCCCGGTTTTACAAGGAGACGAGACAGTAAAGATAAATCCCGGAGCAGGTTCGTGAGGGCCCGGGGAGGCGTCGGTGCCAGGGCCGGGGCAGCGCCCGCCCTTCCCGCCCTGATTTCCCAGGCCCCGGTGACTCACCGGCTGAGCCGACCCCTCCCCCACCGCGGGAGCTGCCCGGGACCTGCGCAGGTGCAGGGCGGCTGGACCCGAGCTCCTGCTGTGCGCCAGCCCCCACCCAGAGGCGTTCGAAGGGGTCATTCCCTAGACGGGGAAACTGAGGCAGGCCGCGCAGCCCGGGGCTCCGCAGACCCCTCCCCTCCAGGGCTGAGGGGGCGGAGCCCCGGCCACGGTGGCGTTGGGAGGAGGACCAGGCGACCCGGACATCCCCGCGGGGGAGCTGCCACTGAGCCCCCCCCGCCAGCTCCCAGGGAAACTGAGGCACTCAGCGGAGGCCGCCCCTTGGGGTTGCTCTGTCGGTGATGAGCCTCCTGTCCCAGGAAGCAACCAAGGCCAGCCAGAATCCCACCCGGAAGAGGCGGAGCCGCGGGTGACAGCCCCGCCTGCGGGGGGGGGGCTCTGGGGCCGAGCCGGCCGGGCCGGATTCCACAGGGAGGCGGCAGGCGGCCCCCAGCGCCCGGGCCGGAGCCGTCACGCCCCGCGGGCCGCGCAAACACCGAGGGGCCGCACCTGTTCTCCCGATCCGCACGGGCCGCGGGAGGCGGCGGCGGCGGCCGGGCCCGGGGCGGTGGCTGCGGGTAAAACCACGGGGAAAACCCCACCACCAAACACAGGGCGGCCCCCTGACCCCCGAGTTCGCAGGGCGGCGGCGGCCGAGCGCCCCGACTTCGTTTACCTCCCGGCCCGACTCGAACACGCAGGGTCAGAAATGAGCCCCGTTCACACCCCACCGCGGGGGGCGAAGGCAGGGCGGGTGGGGAAACTGAGGCACGCTCCGAGCTCAGAGCCGCCCCTTCCACGGGGTGCGGCGGGGTCGGGCGAGGGCTGGAGACCTGTGCGGGGCCCGCGCGTCCAGGAGCAAGCGGGTTGCCAAGGGCTCCACGCGCCGCCCACCCCCACCCCCACCCCACCCCGCCCCGGCGCGGGTCGCCCGGCAACTCCGGGGCCCTGGAGCGCAGGTTCGGCCCCGCTGAGTTTGGAGACGCTGGGGGTGGTGCGCACGGAACCGGGTCGGCGCGGTGTAGACGCGCCGGGGGCGCCTCCGGAGCCCGGAGTCTCCCTCCCCCCTCCCCCCACCGCCGGCGCCGCCGGGTCCTGAGGGACCCCCCCCCAGCACTCACCCCCGAGAAGACGGCGTGAGCCCTGGCCGCCGCTGCCTTGCGAACCGAGGGCCGCGTCCGCAGGTGGACACGAGCCCCGGGGCCGCCAGAGACCTCGCTGCTTCCCGCCGGACGCACAGCTGACCCGGGTTTCCCCCCCAGCGGAGGCCAAGTCCCCGCCGGCCCCGCCCCCGGCCCCGCCCCTTCCCACCAACGCCGGCCCCGACCCGCCCCCGGCCCCGCCCCTCCCCACCGACGCTGCCCCGCTCGGTCCCTGGACCACGCCCTTCCCCCCTCCGGCCTCCTGCGGTCCCCACCGGCCCCTGCCCGCTCCACGCTGCTCTGCCCCACCTCCAGCCCCGCCCATCCCCCACGCCAGCCCCGCCCCGCCTCCAGCCCCGCCCCCGGCCGCTCCGCCCTGCCCTGTCCCGGGACCATGCGCACCCCACCCCGCTGCAGGCAGCACCCCCATCCCAGGCCCCCTACCCCCCAGCTTGCGTTCTGCGCGGGAGGGGAGGGGGAGCCCGGTGACTCCTTCGGTCTCTGCAGGGCGTGGGGGGAGGGGGCGTTCGAAGATTCCAGAACTTTTCAGGCTGAGCCTAGCGGTGCGGGCGCGGGGCTGGCGCTGGGAGAGGCTGCGGGAGGGTTGCGGTGGGCACGGGTTCCAGCCCCGCGCCGCGTGCGCAGTCTGGGTCCCAGAAGCTTCCAGGGGTGCGGGCGGCCCCGCCCCTTCCCTCACTCTCCTCACTCCGCGCGTGTGCGTGCCCTGGCCGTGCCTCAGTTTCTCCATCGGGGATCCTCATCTCCTAGAGGTGGGGGCGGCGGACTCCGCATCCTCGGGGCACCCGCACCCGCCCTTTCGCGTGTACGCAAGCGCGGACTTCAATGCGGGTGAACAGGAAGCAAACAGGGTGGGGGCTCCGAGAGCAGGCCCCGCCCCTGCCCCAGCTCCACCTGGTACCTCCCCTTCCGGCTGGCCCGCTGCCCCCACTGACCAGGGAGGGGCCGCTGGGCGCGTGGAGTGTAGCGGGTGGGCCTGGAGCCCACGGGGGGAGGGGTCCCCGCGCATGTGCACCCCCCGGAGGCAGCAGGTTTGGAGCTGGACCAGGGGTGGCTGTTTTGCACCCACATTGAAAATGTTGAGGGGCCGGCGCTGTGGCCGAGCGGGTAAAGCCGCTGCCTGCAGTGCCCGTATCCCACAGGGACGCGGGTTCGAGTCCCGGCTGCTCCACTTCCAGTGCAGCTCTCTGCTGTGGCCTGGGAAAGCAGTAGAAGATGGCCCAAGTCCTTGGGACCCTGCACCCGCGTGGGAGACCGGGAAGAAGCTCCTGTCTTTGGCCCGGCCCTGGCCTTTGGGGACACCGGCCTGGGCCAGTTCACAGGCCCCGCCCTCCCCGGAGGTGACAGAGGCAGGTGACAAGGGCGTGTGTCACCCGCAGCCGTTAGGGATTATCACCACCCGGGGCGCCCAGCCTCGCTGTAACCCGAGGGAAGAGAATTTAAAGGCCTGCCAGCTTCCGGCAGCGTATCAGATAGGCCGGGGTCCAGGAGCGGCCGGCTCAGAGCTCTGAGCCAGGCGGCCGCAGGTGCAGGGGCCTCCCCCGCCTGCAGGGGGCGCGCGTGCGGCCCTGACCCGAGCCCCCGAGCCTGGGGCTGGATCTCGGCTTCCCAGACAGCCCCGCCCCGCCCCTCGCGGGCTCAGCTTGAGTCATTGAGTCATTGGGGGTACCCAGCCCCCCCCCCCGCAGGTCTGGAAATACAGGTCCAAACCCAGGCCGGCGGCCTCTCCATAAACCGAATTCTAAGAGCCGCGTCCGCCCGGCCTGGTTACAGCAGGCGCTGCATGAATGCGCTTGGCTCCGCTAACTGCCCCGAATGGAAACCCAACGCGCCAGGCCTCTGCCTGGGGTGCCCGGGTCCCTCTTGCAAACTCCTACGCATAGCTCAAAACCCCACTCCCCACAGCCCTGCCGCACTGCTCGGGAGCCCGGGCTTGTCCAGCCCGGAGACTCTGGGGGCGCCCGAGCTTGGCTCCTTCCCTCCCGGGGGGCTGGGGACGCCCATGCCCGTCCTCCCTCCCTCCCCGGGGCACCCTGCCCAGGCTCCCTGCCTCCGGGGTGGGGCCTGGCCTGACCCGAGGCCTCGCCCCCGCCCCTCCACCTTGTCGCCCACCCCGGAGATTTCTCATAGCAAGAACACTTGTCCTTGGGATTTTATTAGAAAATAAAGTGTTTATTCAAAGAACAGGACGAGGCCAGGCCGCGTGCGGCGTGGGCAAGAGCGGGCGCGGCCGGGGGCGGGGGCGGCCCCTGGGCTCGGGTCCTGCGGGCAGGGGGCGGGCGGGGCGGGCGGCGAGCACCAGGACGCAGTGCGGGGCGGCGGCGGCCGAGGTCTCGTGGGCTCAGGAGCTGACCACGTACATCCCTGCGGGGGCGGCGCTGAGCTGGGGGGGGCCCAGAGCCGCCTCCTCCCCGCCCCCTCCAGGCCCCCCACTCCGTGAGCATGTGCACTTCCGGCGGCCAATCCCCGACGCCCTCCCCGACTCCGCCCCTTTGTGGCCCCGCCCCCACCCGAGTCTGGCGGGGGTCCCCCAGCGCCGGCAGCGGCCGGAGCATGCGCAGTCAGGGCCCGCACCTGTGGCGAATCTTCTCTTGACAAGCGACATGCGGTAGCCGCTGCCCACCAGTTCCACGTCCACTCCGGACAGCGTGGCCCCCTCGCTGGTGAACTGTGCGGCCACGGGGCTGGGCGTGCTGGGCCCCGACAGCGGCTCCCAGCTGGCGGACAGGCGGCCCGAGCCTGCGGAGGCCTGGGGTCAGCGGCGGTGCCCCAGGGCCTTTGCGCCTGCTGACCCTGCCCCCAAGCCCTCTCCTCGGGTCTCACGCCTCCCTGGTGCCCCCAGCACAGTCTGGCTCTCCCCGGGGGGAGTCCCTGGCCCTCCCAGCGCAGCGGGAACGCACCCCCCGCCTCGGACACATCTGGAAGCTTCCACACGAGCCGCTTCTCGTCCAGGTTCCTGGCAGGGAGAGGCGCTGGGTCAGAGTTGCTCATGGGTGCGCCCGAGCGGGGGCCCCGGGGGAGGCGGCTGGGGGCCCCGCCCCGGGCTCGCGCGCCCTCACCAGGTGGCGGCCGGCTGCAGGCGGACGCCGGTCACCGGCTCGGCCACGGGCAGCAGGATCTGCACGTTGGTGAGCGGCGTGGGCACGGCTGTGGCGCCCGGCCGGTAGCCGTACTCCACGGAGACCTGCGTGAGCGTCGCCCCGCACTGCCACTGGGCGCTGAGGTGCAGGGGCGAGCACTGGGGCCCGGGCCGGGAGAACTGGGAGGACGAGAGAGAGAGAGAGAGAGAGAGAGAGAGAGAGAGAGAAATGGAGGGAGAGAGAGGGAGGGGGGAGAGAGAGACGTGAGCTGGCGGTGCCTGCGCTGCTCCGCGCGTCCAGCAGGGGGCGGCAGAACGCCTACCGCGAAGCTACTCCCGCTGTCAAGTTCAAGTCCAAGGTGCTGGGGTGGGGGCTCCGCCTCCCCTCGTTTGCATAATGCAGCCCCCTGCCGCCCAGCCACCCCGCCCCCACCCCCCACCCAGGCCCCGCCCCCGCCCCCACTCAGACCCCGCCCCTGCCTCGCTCCACCCCCGCAGCACCTGGTACCGCAGCAGCACCAGGTTGTGGTAGGAGGCCGCGGGGTTCTGCTCCGCCTGGCGCTGCAGGGCCTCGGTCAGCGCCGCCATGTTCAGCCAGAAGTCTTTGGTCTCGGGGTCGCTCTGGGAGGGGTCGCTGCGGTGGGGGGGGGCGAGGGTCGCAGCAGGCCTCGCACAGCCCCAGCCCGCCCCGGGCCCCACCTCCCGCACGCGCAGGGCCCCGCCCAGCCCCCCGCCTGCTCCACGCGCCCCCACACCGCCCCGCACGCCCCTGCAGCGCACCTGAACAGCAGCTCCGCGTTGGGCTGGAAGTGCTCGATGCGGGCGGCGTGCGTGAGCCGGAAGCTGAGCACGGGCGGGGGCGGGGTCCCGCTGAACACGCGCGTGATGCCCGCGGGGAAGGTCATGGTCAGCTCGCCGGTCACTCGCGCCAGGCAGCTGCGGGCAGGCGCGCGGGAGTCCTGGGTCCGTCCCTGGTCTGACGCGGCGGGGTGGCCCCAGCCCCTTCCTCCGCCCACGGAGCGCCCCCAGCCCCGCGTCCCCAGCCCCTTTCTCCTCGGCCGCCAGGGGGCTCCGCGCACAACATCCCATTCTCCACCCTCCCGTGCGTGGGTCTGGGGTCCCGCACTCCCCTCCCTTCTCCACGTGGACTTAAGGTCGCTCCCGCCCAAGCCCAGACGAGGGTCTGCGAGCCACGGTCCGGGCCCCCCCCCCCCGCTGGCAGCGCCTGCGCACCTGGGGCTGGGGCCGCCGAAGCAGGCGTGCACGTACTCGGTGAACGCCGTGGCCACGGGCAGCGCGTCGTGGGAGCCCAGGACCACGGGGCTCGGGCCGCGGGAGACGCCTGGGGGAGGGGGCGGGGTGGGCAGGCGCGGCCCGGAGCGGCCCCGCCCCCAGGGACCCTAGCCTCCGGGCTCCGCCCCCTCCACCGCCCTTAGGCACCATGGCCCCACCCCTCGAGGTCCCGTCCCCGCAGCCCTGCCCCCTCCAATGCACTTGGCTGCTGGGCCCCGCCCCTACCAGCCCACCCCACCACGCCATTGGCTGCCCAGGCCCCGCCTACCGTGCCCCGGGTGGGAGACTCTGGGCCGCTCAGCTGCAGGGCCAAGTGGGGAGGGGCTCAGGGAGCGAGACTGCGGGCGGGGCGGGAAGGGGGGCGTGAGCACCCCCAGGCTGGCGCCTGAGACCCCCTCCCCCCAGCCGCAGTCCCCCCTACCAGGTCTCCGTTGCTGCGAGTGAGGGGGCGGGGCGCCTTCTTGCGGGGCCTCCGCGTGGTGCCCTCGGCGGGTGCGGGCGTCGGGTCTGGGGGGAGCGCAGAGCTGGTTGTCAGCCCCAGCTAGCTCACCCCTGCCACAGGGCCTTTGCACGGCCGCGACCACGTCACAGCTCTGCCTCCCCAGTACGCACTCTCAGAGCCCAGGCGCCCGACTCACCTGCGGACCCAGGCTCCGGCCCCCAGGGCCCTGGGCAAGGGGCGTGGTGCTGGGGCGAGTCCGGGGGCGGCGCCCTGCAGGTGGGCGGGCTCTGCGGGGTGCCCGGGCGGGGGACCCAGGACTCCGGGGAGGGCCCCGTAGCCGCGTGGGACGGGGAGTCCAGGCCCGAGTCCTCCACGTTCTCCGGGGACGAAGAGGAGAAGGGGGAGGGGCTGGACGTGAGGCCAAGGCCGCTGGAGCCTGGGGAGGGGGGCGGAGTCATCTCCAGGCCACGCCCCTGGCCACCGCCCGACTCAGGTGCCCCGCCCACCCGCCCGGGCCCCGCCCCACCACCTGTAAAATCTTCGTGATCAAACGCCGACTCAAGCGGCGGCCCGAACAGGCTCTTGGGCACCTGCTCATCGGCGGGTGGCTTCTCGGCACAGCTGGGAAAGGCCAGGCCCCGTCAGCGCCCCGCCCCCAGGGCCCCAGCACTGCCACGCCCCTCCAAGCCCCGCCCTCAGGGCCCCAGCAACGCCACGTCCCCTCCCAGCCCCACCCTCAGGGCCCTTGCAATGCCACGCCCCTCCGAGTCCCGCCCTCAGGGCCCCAGCGACGCCACGCCCCCTCCGAGCCCCGCCCCCAGGGCACCAGCACTGCCACGCCCCTCCGAGTCCCGCCCTCAGGACTCCAGCACTGCCACGCCCCTCCCAGCCCCACCCTCAGGGCCCCAGCACTGCCACGCCCTCCAAACCACGCACCCAGGGCCCCAGCACTGCCACGCCCTCCAAACCACGCACCCAGGGCCCTTGCAATGCCACGCCCCCTCTGACCCCGCAGCATCCCCCCCCCCCCCAGACTCAGGCCTCGCCCCTGGAACCCACCTGCTGCTCCGGGGGGCCGAGCGTGGCCTCTGGGGCTTTGCAGCGTCGCCTGCGAGGGGTGGGGGCCTCAGTCCTCGCCCCGCCCCCTGCACCCCCCGCCCCCTGCCGCGGATCCGGCCCAGGGAGTTCGAACCCGATCCGACCTGTCCGGGTCCTGGCTCAGCCTCAGTTCCTGGCCCCAGCGCCCTTCGCCCACCCCAGCCCCAGTGCTCGCTCCCGGGGGTCCGCGCACCCACCCCGTGTGACAGAGGGAGAAACTGAAGCCCCGCCCACACCGAGGCCCCGTCCCGGCCCCTGACGTCACCCCGCCACTCACGTGCAGGGGGGCGCCTCATGGTGCCCTGGGAAGAGAAGGGGCGACGTCAGGCGCAGGTGCACCCCCGGCCAGCCCCGCCCCTGCCCCACCCCCGGGCCCGCGCCCCCAGCCTCACCGCTGGCCCCGGGGGGAGGATGAGGCCGCCGGCCGTGGCCCGGAGCTGCGCCGCGGCGGCCGCAGGGCTGCAGGGGGGCGCAGGGGCCGCGGCGGGTCGGATGTGCACACAGAACTTGCGCGGCTCCTCGTCGTCGAAGTCCGAGTCGCTGGACGAGGAGCGGGCCGGCTCGGCCGCGCGTGCGCCAAGGTCAAGGGGCCAAGCGTCGGCCCTCGGACCCACCGCCGCGACCAGGTCCACTCCCCTGCCCCCCAGCTGCCTGGTCAGCAGAACTGTGCGGCCGGAAAACCCCACCCCCGGGGCCCCTTCCTCCAGCGCCCTCCCCTGCCCATCCGGAACGGCCGCGTCTACACTGCTCTGCCTGGTCCTTGCCGAGCCAACACTGGCCGCCAGGGGGCGCCCGAAGGATATTGCTCTGGGTCAGGTCAGGCCGGACGGTGAAACCCTCTTCGTCCACCTCGGGACAGGTCTGGGGAGGGGTGGGTAGCGATGGGCCAGGCTCCCGTCCTGGGATCCAACGGCTCACCTCACCCCCCAGCACCCCTCATCGGCTCCAAGCCCGGCCCGGCACCCCCTCCTCTGCTGGGCACAGCCCCCTGGAGGGAGGCCCCCAGAGTCCGCCGCGCCCAGGGCCCAGGGAGTTTGCCGCCGCCCCGCCTCCAGGCCCTCCCCTGGAGCGCAGCTGTGACTTCTAATTGGCCAGGGGCAGGGAAGCCCCGCCCACTAGCCCCCCACCTACCCAGCCCCCCCACCCACGCACTCACCCCAGAGTCTGGCTCCAGGGAGTCTCTGCGGGTGAGGACACAGGTTAGTGGCTCGGCCGCCCGCGGGTGCTCCTCTTAGCCCCACCCCGGATCCTGGGGTCCCCCAGGGGCTGGGGGCCCCAGCCTGCCTGGGGAGAGGGGCTTAGCCCGGCAGGGAGCTGTTCGCCAGCAACGGGGGAGGGGACCGACCCCAGACCCTGGAGCTGGCCTGGAAGGCTAGCCAGAGAGCCCAGGCACGTGGGGGCTAGCCTCGGGGAACTGGAAGAACCCCGGGCCAGCCTCGGCTTCCCTGGTCAGGCAGCGCCTGGCCGAGCCTTGAAAACAGAAACGGCAGGGGCCCGGTTTGGACAGCGCTCACACTGAGGCCGCCTGCGAGGGCCTCCGGTCTAGCCTGGGTAGATCGCTTCCTGGGTTAGCGTGAGATAGAGTCTCCTGAGATAGTCCAAGTAGGAGACTTCTGGAGTATTTTGGGAAGGCCTGAGCAGGGGGCAGAGTCCCAGGTTAGCCCGGGATAGGCCGGGCAGGGGGCAGGGCCCAGGCTAGCCCAGGCCAGGCTGGGCAGGGGGAGGAGTCCAGCGCTATCATGGGCAGGGGGCGGGGCCAGGCCAGGCAGGGGGCAGGGCCCGGGCTAGCCTAGGCCAGGCAGGGGGAGGAGCCCAGGGCTATCACGGGCAGGGGGTGGGGAGGGGGCAAGTACCAGGCTAGCCTGGCCCAGGCAGCGGGAGGGGTCCAGGGCTAGCCCAGGCAGGGGGTCCTAGGCTACCGGGCAGGGGGCAGGGCGCGGGGTCCCAGGCTAGCCCTGTGGGGGTGCGTGCTCACACGGCTGCACGTGGCTCCCGCTCCCGCCGGCTGAGTCCCGGAAGGCGGAAGGCCTTGGCTCCGCGCAGGCGCTTCATTGCTGAGGGCAGATGGGGGGCGGCTGAGCCCTGGGGGCCCCGGCCCCGCCCTCACAGGCCACGCCCCACCACACCCCGTGGTCCAGCCCACCCTGGCCCCGCCCCACCCTGCCCCCCCCCCGGTCCTGCCCACCCACGCCCTCGCCCCGCCCTGCCCCACCCTCGCCCCCACCCACCCCGGCCCGCGGTCCAGCCTGGGCAGCCAGGCCCGGACGTACTTGCCTTCCTGCAGGGCAGCCGCGCTGTAGGCCTCGAAGTCCAGCGCCCCTGAGACAGAGCAGGGGCGGGGCGCCGGTGAGCGGGGGCGGGGCGCAGGTGAGCCCCTCCCTCCCTCCCTCCCCCCCTCGGCCTTTTAGATAAGGCAGCGGGCCAAGGGCACACGGGAGCTCATTCCAAACCCACCGGGCCCACTCCCGCCCCAGCCCCTGCACCCGGGGTGAGGTCTGGGGCGACCCCGGCCCCCAGCGCCCGCCCCGCCCCCGCCCCCCCCCCCCCCCCCGCGCTCACCCGGCCGCTCCCGGCCCGTGCCCCTGCTCTCGGCGAACTTGCGCAGCAGCGTCTCCACGCTCACGTTCTCCACGTTCTGCTTGAACTCCTCGTGCACCTGCGGGGCGGGGGGGGGGCGGGGCTGAGCAAAGGGGGGCCCCACGCAGCCGCCGGGCTCCCCCAGCCCGTCCCTGCCCCGCCCCGCCCACCTGCCCGATCTGCACATGCGTGTCCTCCACCGCGTGCGCGTAGGAGCCCAGCAGTGTCTTCATGTGCCGCAGGTGCGTCTCCTCCATGGCTTGGAACCGCTGGGGCGGAGAGAGAGCACGGTAGGGGGAGGGAGGGACCACGGACACAGCCTGGCCAATCACAGCATCCCAAGCGCTTGCTGTGCAGTAACTGGCTTGGGGGACAGCCAATGAGAGCGTGTCCTGGGACTTTGGAGGCACTGGGGCCCTATGGCTGTGGACACTTGGACACTGCCCCCGAGACACTCGCACCTGTGCACGCACCTGTGGGGCCGACGTCCCCAGAGAGACATAAACAAAACCAAAAACCAACGGACTGAGGAGCAGGGGCAGGGGCGGAACTTCCGGCCACAGCACCGAGCGCCTGGATTCAGCCATGCCTGAACCCCTCCCCCGTCATCTCCTCCGCCAGCGGCTGCAGCCTGGCCCCGCCCTGGCCCCGCTGTGGGCGTCTGGGGAGTGACCGAGCCGGTGGAGACCTCTCTCTCTCCCCCGTTTCTCTGCTTTTCAGACAAGCCCATCAGCGCTGACCCTGCGCCCTGGGCCGGGTCCAGCCCAGCCTCACCAGTGCCGACTCCGCCATCTTTCGCTCGAAGTCGGCCCGCGCCGCGTTGTACTTCTCCACGGAGCGCCGCAGGCCCTCGGCCGCCTTTTTGGTTTTCGTTTCTGCCTGGGAGGCAGGGGGAGGGGGCAGGGTTGGGACAGAGACCCAGAGGGGGCTTCTGCACCCCTGACCCTGTCCCTGCCCCAGCCCCGCCCAAGCCCCAGAGCCCCAGGTGCTGCCCCACAGATCGCCGGCCACGGGCACAGCCCTAGCCGCCTCCCTCCAGCCCCTGGCCCCGCCCTAGCCACCTCCCTGCCTCCACGGCCCCGCCCCCGCCCTCCAGCCTCGCCCTCCGGCCCCAGTCCCACCCCACCCAAGCCCCGCCCTGGTCCCGCCCAAGCCCCAGAGCCCAGGGCGCCACCCCACAGAGTGCTGGCCACAGGCACAGCCCCAGAACCTCCCTCCCGCCCTGGCCCCGCCCTCACACCCCTGGCCCCGCCCCGGCCCCGCCCCCGCACCTTGTCCACCTCCCTCTGGCCCCCGCTCTCCCTGCGCAAGCGCTCCTGGTCCATGCAGCGGCTCAGGTAGTTCTCCCGGGCCTTGGGCAGCAGCTGGCTGACGCCGGCCAGCACCTGCACGGCGTCCAGGGTGCCCAGCGCCTCCTCCTTGCACTGCGGGGGCGAAACGAGGGTGCCTGGGACCGGGGCCGCCCGCCCGCCCACCCACCCGGTCCCGCGGGACTCCAGCCCCCCGCCCCGCCCCGCCCCCACCTTCTTGTGCGTGCGCAGTTGCTCCTCCCCGTAGTGCAGCACGTCCTTGGTGAGGTCCTGCAGCTTGCGCGTCAGCTCCAGGTGGCACAGGGCCAGCTTGTCGGAGGACACGCGGAACACCTCCCAGAGCGGCCCGAAGGTCCTGCGGGCGGACGCGCATCACGACCCGGGGCCTCGGCCTCACCCCAACCCTACCCCTCCCAGGTGCCCCTGACCCGGCTCAGGAGGGCCACGCCCCGGGGAGGGGCCAGCGGTCGCACCCCAGCCCCTCCTGTCCATCACTGTCACGTGACAGTGATGGACAGGAGGACGAGTCCCCCGCGCGCGGAGGAGCGAGTCAATGCGCCTGACTGAGGGGTGCTGGCTCCTGTCTGGGCGGCCAGGAGTCGCGCCCGCGCCCACGTCCACGCGTGACGCTCTCAAGCCCAGAGCTCATGTAACCCCGGCGGCCCCAGGGCCCACCCGCCCCTCGCCCTCAGGGCCCGGCGCTGAGGTCTGCCTGCCCCGGGGGCCCTGCGCCCACTGAGGTTCACCCGCCCCCAGGGTCCCCCCGCCCTCAGGGTCCAGCGCCCACTGAGGTCCACCCCCGCCCCAGGGCCCACCCGCCCCCATTGTCCGGCGGGGAGGCCCACCCGCCCCCAGCGCCTGCCTGCCTGCTCACCCCATGGGCGACCCGTTGCTGGCCAGCTTCGAAAGCTTCGCCATGGCCTTGGAGTAGGTCTCCTCGATGGTGGCCCTGGGCGGGAAGATGCGGAAGCTTCTAGGAGCTCTGAGCACAGGCCCCGCCCTCCCCGGCCTCAGTTTCCCCATCTCACACTGCTCTGGGAATCCTGGGAGAATTCACCTCCGAGCCCGGTGCGGCATTTAACAGGGGTTTGGGGGCCACCAAGACCTCCACGCTTCTCCTCCAAGCTTTGGGGGGGTCTGTCCCACCTCCCCCCCGCCCCGTCTTCCGGGCTGGGGCTCCCAGGATTCCCGGCTCCCAGGGCCTCTAAGCCCCTTCGGCTGTAGGCACCCCTAGGGCTACACTGGGGAGTGGGGCAGGACACGGGAGAACAGGGAGCTGGGGGTGGGGCCTCGAAAAGTGGGCGGGGCCAGGAGGCAATGGGCGGGGCCTCGTGTGAGTGGGCAGGGCCTCACCTCTCGCGGATGAAGTCGGCCAGCTCCTTGGTGGACGCCGGCCCCTGCTTCACTCCCTGGTACAGGACCTCGAAGCCCTGGTTCTTCTCGCCCTGCGGGGGATGAGAGGCCCGCACGTCGCCTAGCAACACTGATGAGGCCTCAGCCAATCAGCGCGAGGCATGTCCCTGCGGCCGCCGGATTGGTCCGTGGGTCTTAGCTGATCCAATCGGGGAGAAGCCTGGGGTTCTGGCGCCGGGTTGGGGGGAGCATTGCAGAGGTCCCGGCTTCCCTGTCTCTGTCCATGCAGCTCCATCCGGGTCTCCCCCGCGGGCGCAGGGGCCCACAAACCTGGGCCGACCTCCACTGCCTCCCCAGCCCACGGGACGCGGAGCAGCCGGGACTCGAACCGGCGCCCGTGTGGGATGCCTCGGCCGGTGTCTCCGCCCTGCTGGGCCTGGGTTTGGTACTCTGGGTCCCCGCGGGCGGGGGCTGGTGGCGCCGGCCGCCCCACCTGCGGCTCCCCCGGGGGAGGCCGCGCCAGGCACTGCCGTCCAGGCCCGCATCTGGGGCCGACTCGGAGCCAGCGCTGGCCCACTGCCCAGGCGAGCCACACCCTCCCCGTGGCGCCCGCCTCCCTCGGGCCTGGGGGCGGGGGCGGACGTCCCAGGGACCCCTGGACTCCTGGCGTGGCTTGCGGCCACCCAAGCGGAGGGAGCGCTGCCCTGGGCGGCTCCCCCGTGCCCTGCCCTGGCCCCGGGACTGGGCGTCCAGGTCCTCGCTGGGCGCAGCCGACCCCTTGCGTGGAGGCGAACACTGAGGGCGGGGAAGCCCCAGGCTCTCCCTGCCGACCCCCGCACACCTGGCGGCACAGATAAAACAGACCCACGTGCCCCCCGTGGGCGGGGCTGCCGAGCTCCTGAGGTGTGGGCGCCCGCAGCGGGCTCAGAGGGGCGAACCCTCGGCCGGGGAATGCCCAGCCGGGTCCCAGGCCAATCGCGGGGGCCAGGGCTGGAGGATGGAGGTCAGGGCCCTGCAGGTGCAGGCAAGGCCGGGGCTGCGGCCCCTTTAAGAGGGTGAGCGCCTGTAACAGGAGCCCCAGCTGGGGGGGGGGGGAGAGCCCGGCTGGTTGCCAGGGGCGACCGGTTGCCTAGCAACGGGCTTCCTCGTCTCCAGCTCAGAGCCGGGAGCTGGGGAAGGGGCTTCTGCCCAGGGCCACGCCCTCCCCGCTGCCTGCGAGCCCGCGCGAGTCGCCGCTTAGCTGGGGGCGCGGGGTGGGGGGCGCGCACTGGGGGGGCTCGCCGGCATCTCCCAGGACTCAGGGGGCAGCGCCCACTCAGTGTCCGGCCGGGAAAAACCCCCAACACCCCAGGACCAGGAGGCGGAAACCCCCTGGCTGGGGGCGGCGGCCGGGGTGGGGGGGCCTGGGTCCTGAGTCAGCGCCTTCTCTCGGATCACCTCAGGGGCCTTGGAGGTCCCCGCCTCCCCAGGCTTGACCCAAGCAGGTGGAGTCTGGGGCGGGGATCCCAAGCCAGCGGACCCTCTCCGTCTCCATTTGTACCTCCCGCACTGCGGAAGCTCTGCTCCCTGTCCCCTCTTCTCCATAAAAGTCCCCGCAGCGCTGCCAGGAGCCCCCCCCACCAAAGTAAGAGTGCAACTTACCCAAAAATGCTCGCCGAAGTACGACATCGCCACGGCCTGTGCGGAGACCCCGCGTGGCCCCCTGCCCCGAGCCTGCCTGGGGAAAGACGCGTGTCTGAATCCCACACGGGGTCCGAGCCAGCCCGGGCCGAGTGGGGGGAATTCCAGCCTCGGAGAGCAGGGAGATGCAGGAGAAAGCAGAACTGAAAACCGCGGCTGGGGGGACCTGGGCCCCCGGGTGACTCAGCCCTGACCCGACGGCTCCCGGCTGAGGGGCGCGGAACCGGGCACCGACACCCCCAGTGCCACGGCAGGGGCTGGCAGAGTCCTCCTTGCGGGAGGGGACGTGGGAGCTGGGGTTCGCACGCATGCGTAGGAGTTTTAGGGCGAGGGTGGCCATGGCCTGGGTGAGCCCTCCGCCCAGGAGGAGAAGCTATGAGCCATTTCACAGACGGGAAAACCGAGCCCTCGCCCTGCCAGACGGAAGCCACCTGCCGGTCACAGCCAGGAAGGCACTGGATTCGCACCCAGGACCAGGGGAGGCCAGACCCGCACTGTCAGCTCCACACCGGGCAGCGCCTGTGGGGGCCAGGGATCGGGGGAGCGAGGGTCATGGGGCGTTCTGGACCCCCCCAGCAGACCCCGCCCCCAGGGGGCCCTGTAGCTCTGATGCCCCCGCCCCCGCCCATGCTCACCCTCCTTGTCACTGTCCAGCTCCTGGCCTCAGTTTCCCCATCTGGAAAATAAGACGGGGGGCGCCTGGGGGGTCCGGCGGGGGCGGGCAGCGAGGGTCCGGCGGGGGCGGGCAGCGAGGGCCCGGCGGGGCGGGGCCCCGGGGTCCGGGCGTGCAGGCGCAGGCGCAGGGCGGGCGCTGTCACCCGAGCCCCGCGTCTCATCCATAATTCACCCCCAAGGCAGCTGGGAGCCTGGGAGGTGCGGCCGCGGGTGGGGGGCAGGGGTCCCCGCAGGGCGGACGCCGAGCAGGACCCGCGCCCGCCGCCAGTCCCCAGCCCTGGCCCCGGGCTCCAGGTCGGGGCTGGCCTTGTGTGGTCAGGGCTGCCAGGGGAGGCTACGCTGGGGAGGGGAAGAGGGTGTGGGGAGTGGGGTTTTGGAGTACGACTAGGAGTTCAGCGGCCCCCACACAGCTCCGGGGGAAACCTGGTCTGGAGCCGGGGGCTCTCACACCCAATGTGGGGGCGGCGAGCTTCGCCCCGGGGCCTCTCTGACCTCAGGAGCCACCCAGATGGTTCTGCCGGGGCCATGCAGCTCCAGCGGGGCCCCCTCCGGGCCCCGCCCCCCACCCCAGCACAGAGCTCAGGGCGCCCTGGCCCCGCCCCGGAAGTGACACCTGCGCCTTCTCCCCAGCCAGGGCCCCAGGCCCTGGGGGGGGTGTGTGGGGGCGTCTTTCCCGACCCCACCGGGGCGCAGGGGGCGACGCCAGAAAGCCCCGGGCCGGGGCCACACTCACCGGACAGGGCTTAGGCACGCAGAGCCAGGACCCCCCAGACCCCGCCGTCGGTGCGCAGCCCCCGCGAGGCCTCCGGCTTCCGTCGTGCGGGACGTTGGTGCACAGGAAGCCGCCGCGCCGCGCCCCCGGCGCCCAGCGCCCCGCCCACGGCACCCCGCGCTCCGCCCCCGACTTCCACCCGCGGGGCGCTGCTGGGACCTTCGCCAGCGCCTTGGGTGCTGGGAGAGCCTGGGACGCCCCCGTGCCCGCGACCCCGCCCCCACCTGCCCGGGTCGCCAGCCGGGGCCCCTGCACCTGCTCCGCCCACGCGCGGGGGCTCAGGTGCGGCCAGGGCCGGGGGTCGGGGACTGGAGGGGGGGGGACAGGAACCGAGTCGGCCCCGGACCTGCGGACGCGGCTCCTCCCTTGCCCCGGCCCGGGGGTCTTCCTCCCCACCCAGGACCCTCGGGCTGTGCCGGCGCTGAGGTCCCGGCCCGGGGCATCCGGGGTCACGCGGAGGAGTTCCTGCTCCACTGCGCAGACATCTATTAAGCGTCGACTGAGTACCGGGCAGGAAGCCCGCTCGGCCGGCCCAGTGACCCCGTTTAGGGAGCCGGGAGGCTGTAATTAACGCTGCGGCCAGGTGAGCCCATTCCACAGACGCACACACCAAGGCCCCGGAGGTCACGGCCGCACACAGACATGGCTAGGCGCGCCCCTGGGGTGCCGGACTCCCGGCGCAGGGCTTGTCCGAGGGCCAGCGCCTGCACTGACCCCGAGCCCCGGCCCCTCCCACTCAGGACCTCGCCCGGAACAGGTTCTCCCCTCACCCAGCCCCCGCGCGGCGTGGGCGCCGGAATGTGGGTCAGGGCGTGCCCGGGACAGCCCCTCCGGGGAGGCCAAGGCGGCTAAGCCCCTGTCCTGGGCCACGGGACTCCCAGACCCCGCCCCCGCCCCCGCCAGCCCACTCTCCAGGCCGGCACACTGAGGCCCGAGGCCGGCCAGGCAGCGTCGAGGGCCCCCCCAACCCCAGCGACACACGTGTTTGGACAGAATGAGACCCCAGCGAGAGGCGGGTAGGGGGTGGGCTCCCAGCTGTGTGGCCCGCGGCCACAGCCCCCAGCCTCAGCCTCACCACAGAGGAACCCGAGCCCAGGGAAGGTGCCCTCCCCTGCCCAAGGTCACGGGCGAGCCAGGCCCCCAGGGCGGCCGGGGCAGGCAGCCCGGGGAGTCTGAGGCTGGGGGGCGCCCGGCCCGCACACCCACCCCGACCCCAGCCCGCACCAAGGCCCCTGGCCTGCACCCCGGCCACCCGCCCCCACCCCAGCCCGCACCAAGGCCCCTGGCCTGCACCCCGGCCACCCGCCCCCACCCCAGCCCGCACCAAGGCCCCTGGCCTGCACCCCGGCCCCCCGCCCCCACCCCAGCCCGCACCAAGGCCCCTGGCCTGCACCCCGGCCACCCGCCCCCACCCCAGCCGAGCGCCGGTTTCCCGCGTTTATCTCCATCCCCGCAAACCGACGCTCGCAGACCCCTCCCCGAGAACAGGGCTCCCCCCCCACCCAGTCCAGGCTCCCGGCCGGGCCTTAAACAAAACCCCTCAGGGACCCTCCCCCCGGAATGTCAGCCCCGGGGTCCCGGCGCCGAGGCCCCCGCCCCAGCCCACCCTGGCAGTGCGGGCCTGGGAGCGCACGGCCTAGAGGCGGGGACCTGGGTCGGGGCGCGCGGGGCGGTGCTCGTCGGGGTCCCTGGGGGTCTGCAGGCCGGAGACCGGACGCGGGACATTGAGGAGCCAGGGGCTGGGCTCGGACACGCAGGGCTGCGGCCGGAAGCGAGCGGCGCCCCCATGTTTGCAGCCCCCCCAGAAGCCAGGCTTAGAATAAAGGGATATGGGAGGGGTCTCGCGTCACGGCCGCCCTCCGCCTGCGCGCTGCGGGTCTCGACCAGGAGGCGGGGGGGGGGGGGGGGCTTGGTGATGGATCCGCGCCGCACCCCCTCGGGACCCCCCATGGCCGGCGCCCCAGGCCGGGACGCCCCCCCGCGCAGCCCCGCGCCCGCCGGCCCCGCAGCCTCGGCTCCAGGCGCGGTGTGCGCGCGGCCCCGGCCCGGCCTGGGGCGCCGCGGGCCCCCGGGGCCGCCACTCACCTCCGAGCCCGCCCGGCCCCGCGCCCGCCGCCACCTGCGGCTCCGTCGCGGACGCCCGAGCCCGCCCCGCCCTTCCTGCGCGGCTGCAGCCGCCTGGCTCCGCCCCCGGGGCGTGGCCCGCGGAGACCCCGCCCCGCGATGGCGCCCGGAGGCAGGGGCGGGCTCTGCCGGCCTCGCTCGCGGATTGGCTGAGCCGGAGACCGGGAGCCTTTCCATCTCCCCCCTGGACACCGACGCGCGCGCGCGCGCACCCCACCCCCGCCACCTGCAGTTCATTTGCATAATTTAAAGAGACAGCAGTGCTCCTGCCGACCCGAGACCCCGTGGGAGAGCAGGGATGACTGGCAGTTCTCTGACCAAGGCCCCACTGGGCGCCCCCTGTCGGCCCGTACGGGGAGCAGCACGGGTCCCTCCGGGCCAGGAGCTCTGAGCCCCGGAGAGGGTCAGGGAGGCCGTACAAATTGTTTTATTTTTAATTATAATTAATTTTTGTTTACTTGCAAGACAGAGAGAGAGAGAAAGAGAGGACGTCCATCCGCTGGGTCGCTCCCCATGTGGTCACAATGGCCAGGGCTAGGCCAGGCCGGAGCCAGGAGCTCCATCCGGGTCTCCCACGCAGGTGCAGGGCCCCAGCGCTCGAGCCGTCACTGCTGCTGCCTCGCGGGGTGCGCATGCGCAGGGAGCTGGCGTCCGGCACAGAGACAGGACTCGAACCCAGGCCCCTGATGTGCGATGCGGGTGTCCACGCGGCATCCAGGGAGGCCCAGGCCCGCAAACGCATCTTCCAGTTCCGTAGTTTTTCCCATGAGTGTCTGGAAGGGCCCTTACCCATACGCACCTGCCGTGAACCGGCTTCTCCCGGGACTCCAGAGCCACAGCCCTGGGCCCTGTCCTCACCCCTCCACCGCCTCCAGGGAGCCCTCCGTGCGCCGCCCACCGCCCCTGCCTTCACCCCTCCGTGGCCCCAGGGAGCCCCCTCTGCGCTGCCCACCGCCCCTTGGCAGGCTGGGCCCGGTCAGTGACGGAAGCCCAGGCGAAGCCCAGGCTGAGGTTACCGGGCGAGGTCTCCCAGGCAGGGCCGGGCGGCAGGTGCACCTGTGTCTAGAGCCCCTGGGGCCGAGCGGGGAGGGGGGAAACGACACAGTCCGCGGGCGCCCCCTGGGAGGCGACACCACCCACCCACACACCCACACCCACACCCACACCCACACCCACACACACACACACACGGTGGGGGGGGTCCGGCGCGGCCGCAGCGAGGAAAGGCATACGTGAGCGCCACCTGCTGGTGGGCAGAGCGATGTGTTCCAGGGTCTGCATCGGCAGGGCCGGGAGCGGTGTTAAGGGGGCGCGGAAGGCTTCCAAGCGCCCACCTGGATCCCTCCGCCCTCAGGTCTCCCCTCAGGCTCCCTCCCGGATCCTCAGCCCTTTAAGGATCAAGCTTCCCGCCGCCGCCCCCGCGCAGCCGCACGGCCGCCCTCCGCCTCCTCTGGAAGTTTCAATAGCATCGGGCTCCTCTCGGTTCCTCTTCCAGTGCAGGCCGCTGCCCCCCGCCCCCGCCCCCCCCAGCAGGCTCTTGCCGGCGGCCTGGTGGTGGCCGCCCGGCAGGTGCTGGGGATGGATGGAGGGAGGGCGGAGGTCGCGGCCAAGGTCGGGCGCGCACTGGGCTCCTGCACCTGCTCCAGGGCTCCCAGGTGCATCACGGCAGCGGAGATATTTTTAGTGCGAGTCCCAGCGGAGGGGGCAGAGGCTGGGCCAAGCAGCTGCTAAGAGGGACTTGGTGTGTGGGGGGAGACAGAGAGAGGAGGAGGGAGGGAAGGAGACGTGGGGGGGAGGTCCCCTTTCTGCTAGCTCATTCCTGAAATGGCCGCAGCAGCCAGCGCAGGGCCAGGCCGCAGCCAGGAGCCAGGAGCTCCACCGGGTCTCCCATGCAGGTGCAGGGCCCAGGGACTTGGGCCGTCCTCCACTGCCTCCCCAGGCCACAGCAGAGCTGGACCGGAAGGGGACCAAGCGGTGCGGCCAGGGGTGACAGGTGCTCCTGGGCCTCCTGGAGCGCTGCCCAGGCGCCTGCTCCGCGAGCTGGGGCGCCCCATGATGCCAACTAAGACGGCCAGGGGCGGGCGCTTGCGCAGCTGTTAGGATGCGGGGCGGCCCCCTAAGCACGCCCACCCCGCGTGCGGGACCCGGGTGGGGACCCCGGCTCCCGGTGCAGCCCTGGGGACCACAGGCAGCCGCGGAGGACGCGGTGGGGGGAGCGGCCACGCTCGGCTCCAGGACGGCCGGGGCCTGCGTGGCCAGAGCAGGCGGGAGCGGAGGCGACCCCCAGGGGTCCCCGCAGCCCCCGGCCCCGGCCTCCTCTTAGCACCCGAGTCCCAGGCGGGCAGAAGCGAAGGTGGCGGCGAGGAACTGACGGCTAGAGCCGGGAGAGGGCGCTGGGGCCGAGGGCGGAGCCCACGGGATCCAGACCCCGCGCGGAGCCCTGCGGACCGGGCTGGAAGGCGTTCGGACAAGTCTACCGCTGACCGTGTCTCCAATTTTTAATACATTATCGGAGAGGGAGCTTGCAACAGCCAGGGCCGGGCCAGGCGGGGCCAGCAGCCAGGAGTCCCCTGGGCCGGCACTGCTGCCTTCCAGGCCCTCAGCAGGTCCTCCCGACCTGACCGGGGCTGCCCAGCAGGGCCTTGACCACTGTGCCACACGCCCGGCCCCCCAGCTTGGATTTTGATGAGGGGATCTGGCGCAGGCGCACCAGGAACCGGGAAGTGAAATCCGCGAGGGCGGGGCCTGGCCGCGATGGCTGCTAGGGGGGACCTGCTCCGGCCTGGGGGGGTGGGGGGGCGGTCCCGAGGCTTCTGACGGAGGGGCGGAGACCAGACAGACGGGGCAGCCACAGATGGGGCCCCGTAGCGCAGCAAACTTCCCAAGATTTATTGGTTTGGGAGGCGGGTCTTGCATCCCTCAACGCCACAACAGCCAGGGCTGGGCCAGGCGCTCCATCCAGGCCCCCCACATGGGGGGACGGGACCCGGCGGGACCCTCCCCTCCCATGGTTCGCACGTGGGGGAGCCGGGTGGGACGTGGAGCGGCCGGGACTCAAACCCGGCCGCTCCAGTCCCGGATGTGGGAGTCTGGGGAGGCACTGAGCCCGCTGCGCCCCCCACAACGCTGGCTGGTGCCCCTGGGGTGCACCTGCCCCGTGGCCGTAACCCCCCCAGACCCGCTCCCCCCACCTCTGGCTGCTCGCACTGGTCCACGCCCGGCTGACCCCTGCCCTGCGCCCTCGGGAGAGGACCCGGCCCTGCCCTGCGTCTCCGTCTCCGGTCTGCAGTGGAGCCTCTCCCAGCCCAGAACCCAGCTGGGCCGCCCCCTCCCAACGCCCTCTCGAACCCTCGCCTCAAGCAGGGTTTAGGTCACCGCCAGGGGGCGCCGGCGGCCCCTCTGCTGTTGCAAGGCCCGGGGAGGAGGCCGCTGAGGCCTGGGGTCCCGCCGGAAGAAGCGTCCAGGCCGGGGTGGGGGTGCGCAGGGGCTTTATTTCCGGGGGCGGGGCTGTGGGGCGGGGGCGGGGCTAGAACTCGACCTTGCAGGCGGGGAAGGCCTCGTCCTGCATGGACACCATGCTGTTGCTGCCCAGCACCGTGACGCCCAGCGCCTGGTGCCGGCCGTGCGTGTCCTCGTACCAGCGGTGCATGGCCGCCGAGTCGAAGGTGGGGATCAGGGTCACCTGCGGGGGGGGCAGTACACGGTCAGGGGCGCCCCCTCCCTCCAGGCCCTGCCCCCCCGCCGGGAACCAACTTCCGCGCTGGACTGGCCCCTGCGAGCGTGCAGAGGCCGAGCAGAGGGGGGATGGAAGGAGCCCGACCCTCAGGGTC